AGCTGGGTAGCCTGGTATCCAGCCTTTTTCAGTCCACTTAGCAGCAAAATTACTAGTAACTTGCATTTTGTGGACCAAAGGCTAAGGAAGGCTTCCATCATCCATTCTGTTATCAGTTACAACCCCTGCTGGCAGTCCATAGACATGTGCAAACACTGCCCAAGCCTTCTTGTTTGGCAGGACTGTAGGTGATAAATGTTGCTGATAAGACTCACATGCATTTATTTACTCACACTATATAAACTGTCAATCCTTCAATTGCATATATAGCAAAGGGGAAAACTCAACTGGAAACAAACAAATTGATCATTTGCTGAAAATAGTTCATATCGTCACTCCAAAAATTATTACAGTTGACTTTCCTACTGACTTTGACATGAATTTGGATTGTGAATTTACTTTGTCAATTAAAGTAGATTTACTTGATGTAATAGTTCCTTCATGCCCTTCTAAGTTCCACTGAGAATGTTGTATGGAGGAAGATGGTAGCCTGGGTGCCATCCCCAGTAGTATATTCGCCAGCTCTATAACTGGGTCTGGACTTGATCACATATGTAGCGTCTGGAGTCTGAATATTCGTTCAGATTTTGAACGAGCGCGCTGATTCGTCCTACTCGTCTAAGCCCTTTTTTGGGTGTGTACATATTAGGTAAGGGCCGTTCGGCCGTCCGAACGGCAACGTTAGCGTCCGTTCGAACGGCTACGTTAAGATAGATCGTTATTCTTATCTTATTATCATCAACATGTCCGACGCCGAACGCTAAAGCGCGCTTGATATAGCCGTAGTTAGTGTACTTTCCGCGATCGATCATCAACATGGCTGGCGCACACGCCGCTCAGCTCTCGGAGCTTGATGTTGACCTCGCAAAAGTAGAACGCACCAAGAAAAGGAACACTCGCGCGAAGATCTGTGTTTACAAAACAACAAACATCACTTGAATAATACAGGCGCGCCATTGGCCGTCGCCTCAGAGGCTCAGCCAATCAAATGAAGACCCGCTGCTCGGACTAGCTCATTACGTGACGTCATCACCAGACGTTTCATATGTGATCAAGTCCAGACCCAGTTATAGAGCTGGCGAATATACTACTGGGGATGGCACCCAGGCTAGGAAGATGGACCTAACCATGCCCAAACAATTTGCATGTTTTGTCCCAATGTGTTGTAAAGCATTTGGTTTCCTGCCTCAAAAAAATGAAAACTCTGAGAATAGAATTTAATGCACTTGCAATCAATATTCATTGCAATCTTTTATGTATTTTACTATTTACCAATTTTTTGTGAGAGTTGTCACATCTCATCATCATATGTATGTAACGTTAGATGAATTTGATTCGTATTTTGATTCCAGAACAGCCAATGTTGGCACTAGAAACTAGGAGGTCATGCTGTACATTGCTACATCAAAGCAGCTATTAGATTTTAATACCTCTCAGTCTCAAGCAAAGCCACTTCATCATCTGCCATTCAAGCCATTTACTGTAGTATAACCTTGTCCTAAAGCAATGAACATGAAAAGACCCTGACCTTTGATATGACAAATGCGGTGCACCGCTCAAAATAAAGAGAACAGGGGGGCTTTAAAAGAATCGTGACGTGTCTTTCTTCTTTTGCTAAGGGCGATCCCTGTCCCATACAAGGCAGGGCCGGCGACATAGCCCAAATATTCAAGTCTATGGCATCATGTGGCGGCATGCGGGGAGGGGTATCGCGAGCGAGGTGGAACAAGGGGCCATGCAACGGCTTTCCTACCTCGTCTTCAAATTATGAAATATATGCTTTCAATTACATCACAAATACAGTGTATGTCTGTACATGACACGTTAGGGGGTACAAATTAGCAACAGAAGCGATATATTTCTGACAAATTAAGCAAAGTGGCAAAGGATATCCTGCATACAACAGTACAGGGACTGTGTAACCCATACGGCATTATGTACCGTTATATCGTTTAGTGACCAAGCGCTGAGATTCATGAGGTCATAACGGACCCTGCTTCCTTCACAAGCAATTTTCTTTACCCCTTGGTTAATGATATGCAAAAAAATATGTCAGACGTGATGACCTTCTAAATGTGTAATCGGAGACCATTCCCAAATTATCCGCAAACCGTTGACAGACTGGGACGGACGTCACCCTGGCTCGTTTTTTTCTACGAAATGCAAAATGGCGGCCTCCAACTACACATTCCCGTCTGTCACTTCGCCCGTTTCTCGTAACAAATTATGACGTGCTATTCACCGAAATAAGACCATCCACACAAAAACAGTCAAGGGATACTTACCATTTCGTTTCGGCGAGAAGAAACGTGGGACAATAAAACGGTTCAGCTGAAACAAGAAACGTTTCCCCGGAGTCGGTCCTATCGGCCAAGAGGAGGAGGAGGATGGAAGGTACCAGGAACTGCACCACGGGGAAAGGCGTGTAATCTTCCACTGTCAATAAAACTAACGGCGTTAGCCATTGGTCATATCAGATGCCTGGCAGCCTCGGGAAGGAAGAATTCAGCCAATCCCAGCGTGCCAGACAAAGGCTATCGAATTCATATGTAAGGAAAATAGTCCGTGAGTTAAATTTGTTTTGAGCGTTTCCGTTAGATATAAACAATATTTGTGAGGTTGATTATTTGTATTTACCTTGACGGATAGGACTGTAAAACTAATTTCTTCAACAAACTAATGCAGACGTGAACCACTGATGGTCGTTGAATGTGTGCCAATCAGAGAGCGGCAATGATGTCATTTCCTTATTTGGGTCAAGTCCCGCCACACGGGGACAGGGTTACCAAATTTGGCCCCAGCGGTCATGGTGCCCAGTCACACCCATGCTTCATTTCTCACAACTTCTTCATGGTCCTCCATCTTTCAGCACAAAGGTTCTATGAACCATATTATAGTGCTTTTGTGCTGGACAAAAGTTATAATGAAACTTCTCTTTGCCCCAAGTTATATGACACAGTGTCAATAATTTTATTCTCTCATATATCATAGCACATATTATACATGTAACAGTATCATCTATTCCACATATTGTTGAATAGATTTGGACTTGAATGATGACAATTTTATCTACAATCTATAATATAACGTTACCAATATAAAACAATTAACAACTATTGCTGACAGCTATTTAGGCCATGTTGATTTGATTATATGGATGACATCCTCCGGGAGCCCCAAAACTGATGCGCGCGTGCAAATAAAAAAAAGTTTTCACAAAAAAAAAGTTGTTTTCATGATGAAATCTACGTGGTCATGAGGGTTGAACAAATGGGACAGAATATGGTTTGGCGAATAATCTAATCTTCATTAGTTCATTTCCTTACAATTTCGTCTTTTTTCATTTGATTTTGGTATTCTACGACATTGGTATAGTTTTTAATTATTTTTTTGTAACTTACGGTATATTTTTGCTCATTTTGCAACTGTTTTGTACGATTTACAGTATGGTTGAAAACTTTTTTTTTTTTGGAAACGGCCGAAAATTCATGCACGCGCGGATGTCATCCATATAATCAAATCAACATGGCCTTAAGTAAGCTTTTAACAAACAAACAAACAAAAATACCAAGGATAGTGTCCACTTGTTATACGTTGGCAACTTATATAACCTTAACATATTATAGGAAGCTGGTATTGTAGTGAGAACTTCATAATTTGGCAAACTATTAATTTCAATTCATTAATAACAGCTTTCAGACTTTTTGACTGTCTCCACAACTTTTTGCAGGTTGACCAAAAAGTCTAACTTTTTTAAGTTAGTTAGTCTGTTAACGTTAGATTCCTCTGCAAACTTTAATCTGATTTTCACCTTGGCTGACTCAGGTTTTGTATTAATAACTTCTATGTTACTTCCTCAGAAAGTTTTTTTTCAGATGACACACCAAACCTGCCTGAGTGACCACCTCTACATTAGGATCACGTGGCCAATATGACTACTTTGTGGTGGTCTCATTTTCTCATTGATACATACAACCATTATTTTAAGAATCCTATCCATAGTGACCAGCTGTCCACATAATGGTAGACTAGATTTTATGGTCTTGAAAGTCTTCTTGGGAAGTTGTTTTTTGACTGTACCAGAGTGATGTGAGAGAGTGCTGATTTCGTGTGCCATGGATCTAACAATAGTACAGAAAATATGGAAACAACCAAAACAGCCAGAGATCATTTATGCAAAAGTAAAACTATCAAATTTTCTGTAACCTGATATGAACAGTGCGTCGTTGTTCTTGCTTCAAATAGAAGTGTCATGCTTCTAGTCTAATGAGCTAAACAAATTAATTCTACAATCTCATATCAAACGATTCTTGCCTC